TTTTGCAGATTTACAGACAATGCAATTGAGACGTTTACATTGTCTTGTTGGGGTAACTGCAACAAAGTTTCTTAATTTAATTAGCATAACTGCACAAGTTTTATAGTTCATAAACTCTGTAAAACAAATGACATTAATTATACTGTCATTTCATGTATCACAGTTCATTGCAGCCGTGATTAGTTCATAAACATTACGTAATTTAGAAGCGCAATATCGCACTGATTTACACATCGACTATAAAGTTTTTGCACATTGTAACATAAATGCTGTTTATGAAAACCAACTGTTTCGTATGCGTGTGATTATATATTACTATCAAGTAATAAAACACTTTACAGTATATTTTATTTGTTAGCGGTGCTCAGCGCATTAGAAATCGAGCTTCTGAAAGTACAGTTGTGTTTTTAGATCCGTTTGTTGAAAAGATTCGACTCAAAACAACGGGCATCGTTAGTGTCGCATGATTTGAGCGTCATCAGCAGTTGGCGTACAGCAGTGGCGCATGTTGCACTTGTGAAATATTGCTTTACGGTTTTAAATAATAAATTCCCATGGCGAATGGTGCGGAAGAAGTCCTATTTTGTCGTGGGACGGTTCAAGTGAGTATTAAACCATTTTAAAAGAGATTCGATTGAGCTACTCTGGCTCGTGTTTTAGATTCGAGAAAATAGCAGATTGTTGTGCTCGTCAGCTAGCATTTTGTTAGCTGCACATTAAAAGTCCAGTCCGACATTTCTATTTTGCGGTGCTTTTGTTTTGTGGTTTTGGTCTTAAAGTCAGTTGGAGTAACAACGTCTGAGAAATATGTTCGCATAAAGCATTCAGCAGAGTTCATTGGCCAGTGATCTCTTTCCTCTTTTCAGGGTGATGATTCTGATATTTGGGATGATACAGCTTTAATTAAAGCATACGATAAAGCGGTTGTGTCGTTCAAGGTAAATAACGCTTAAAAGACATGCGACCATTGCATTTTACTTTGCTTCGCTTCGCTTCTTCAGTAAGCCCGATGTTGTTTTTCTCTCTGCTTCTGCTCCTCCTCCTCCTCCTCCTTTACCCAACAGAATGCATTAAAAGGAGAGGATAATGTGACACCACACAAAAAAGATAACCCTGGGAAGAAGCGGAAAAACAACAAAAAGAGTAAAAGCAGAAAAAGATGTAATGCAGCACCTGATAAAGAGGTAATCGTGAATAGTGTCAGTACTTATTGATTTGAAGGACCAAAATAATACAGGCCAATGTAGATGAACTGAAATGTGTTATACAGTGGCAAGTTGGAGACACCTGTTGTGCATTCTGGTCTGAAGATGGCAACTTGTATGTTGCTACGATTTCCTCAATCGACCAGGAGAAGGGCACCTGTGTGGTCCGTTATACTGACTATGGTAATGAGGAAGAGCAGAACCTCAGTGACCTTCTGACAGAGGCTTCAGATTTGGATGAAGACACTCAAAAAACAGCAGATGTATGTAGAATGTGACACTGCTTTTAATTAGACACTCTAGTCATTTGAGGGATTTAAGAAATGGTTCACCCAAAAATGAAAATTTGCAGAAATGTATTTACCTGCCTCAGGCCGTTCAGGTTGTAGATGAGTTTTCTTCATCGAAACAGAAATTTAGCAATATATCACTTGCTCACCAATCGATCCTCTGTAGTGAATGGGTGCCGTCAGAATGAGAAACTGATAAAAACATCACAATAATGTGCACGACTCCAGTCCATCAATTAACATCTTGTGAAGCGAAAAGCTGCATGTTTGTAAGAGCAAATTAAGGTGTTTTTAACTTTAAGCCATCGCTTCTGGCCAAATCCATAGTACCGCTTCTTCCAGTGAAGAAGAGGAAAAATCTCTGAGAAGAGAAAGCAGAAATCTCCTGTTCTCCTCTCACAACAAAATCTAGCGGCATATTTGTTTGGAACTGTTTTTGCTTGTAAGCGGTGCTTGTTCTGTCTATATTTCTCTCCTGATTCAGGTGACGCAACTGTTTCACTGCAGAAAGCAGTATTATGGATAGAGGACTTGTATTTTACCCAGAAGCAGTGGTTAGAAGTTAAAAATGTCTTAATGATGGATTTACTACAAACATGTAGCTTTCCACTTCACAAGTAATGATAATTGATGGACTGGAGCCGTGTTGTGGATTATTGTGATGTTTTTTTTATCAGCTGATTGAACGCTCATTCACTGCAGAGGATCTATTGATGAGCAAATGATGTACTGCTAAATTTCTCCAAATCTGTTCCGATGAAGAAACAAACTCATCTACATCTTGAATGGCCTAACAGGGAGTACATTTTTATCAGGTTTTCATTTTTGGGTGAACTATTCCTTTAATAATGCGGTTGTATAATATTGCTTTTCATTTGTCTAATTGCAGGTCAAAGAGGCTGAGTCTTCGACAGAGGAGAGTGATCGATCTTTTACTCCACGGCAGTCCGGTCATCAGAAGCACAAATCTAAAGGCAGATCCCCCATGGGGCCTCCATCATGGGTTCCTGGTTTCCCACCTGGACCCCCACCAGGACCTCATTTCCAAAAGGTGAATGTTGAATGCTGTGACGCTCTCTTTTCTTGTTATAAAAGGCAGTATTCAACATTGCAAAGTGATTCATTAGCTTGTCAGTTAAGTGGTTTTTATATTGCATCACACAAAATACTATGTTTTCTCCAGATGGATGGTAGACGATCAGAAGGTCCTGGACCTTTCTTCCCTGGATGGCCTCCCATGATTCCACCCGGTCCCCCAGTAAGAACCAGCTGGAAATAAACACATTCTAAACATATTCTTACAGGAAAAGTGATCTAGTAATGGCATTTTAAGAAGCACATACAGCTTTTTATGGGAGCAAATCAACTAAAATGTGAAATTATTGTTGGTCCAGATGATCCCACCACCTCCACCAATGAGTCCAGACTCTCTAGAGGATGATGAAGCTTTGGGCAGTATGCTTATTTCCTGGTACATGAGTGGCTATCACACGGGATACTATTTGGTACAGTTTTACTATTTGGAACTACTTGCCATTCACAAGTGTCTTCATGCACCTGGTTGTTTTTCAATCAAAGCTCAAACTCTTGTCTCGTTCACAGGGTTTAAAACAAGGTCGTAGAGAGGCTGCAGCATCTAAGAAGTCACATCGGAAATAAAGATCCAGCGGTTGGTTTTTATTTTTAGATTTTTTTTTTTTTTATGGAGTGTTGGTAAATTTTTACCTTTTACATATTGCTTTGAGTATCCAAATTTCTAGTTTAGGTTTACTGAATTACCTTTTTTCCATTATAGAGCGGAATATGAACGTGATGCTGCAACGGACTTGATTCAGTATTCTATTTTGTATTGTTTGTAAATAAATGAATTAAAAGTAATTGTGCTCTTTTCCAAAGTGTGTTTTTATTAAGAGATCACTTTAATAGAGACTAGCTACAAATAATTTTGGTAGCTTGATCAAGCGTTACAAATTTACATTTCATTCAGATTTCATTAGCATTCATTTGCTGCATGTCACTGATGTGGCTGAAGTAAAAAATCTTCAAAAATTCATAGTATCAAAGGTCATAGTATCAGGCATTTGTCTTTATTTCAACAAGCCCATATAAATTGTGTATTGTAGATGTGATAACTTGTACTGTCTAATGCACTGGTCTTCAACCAAGTGGCTGGTGCTTTAGATTTTTTTTTTTTTAAAGCAATAAATTAAGGTTATTCTTATTTTAATTCATTAATTTTTTTCTTTTAAGAACCAGGTTTCACACAGACTTGGAAAGCCTTTATATATGAGGTACCCTAATTTAAAAATGTGATTTCTAGACATGGAAAAGTCATGGAAATTAATGTAATCTTAAAGCTCCATGGGCATTTTTATAATGAATATACAAAAGTGGGGGACCTTGGGGTTGAAAACCACTGGTCTCATGTAGGCCTAAGTTAGCATCTCTCTTGTTTAACAAACTCTTCCTCCTTGCCTTATCTGGTATGGGCTTTAGTTTTTAATGGTTTACTTCCTGTGAAATCCATCCGAGGAGACTGATATTCTCATCATCTGACTGGTATTGGTGTCAGGTTGCTGGATCTGGTGCACTCTCTGGTAACCTCGGCATGAGCATCCTGAGACAGAGGAAAGCAAATTCAGAAGGATTAGCATAGCTGCTATTCATATTATTTTAAAGCTTTTCAATATTTTCTTGGGCATTTTTGGCAATTCTGGCAGGCCAACGTAGACTAGTTTAGTTTGTGAAATGAGCTAAATGAGTGAATGCTTGTCTAAAAATTGTAAGTTTGTGTCTAACAAACATGCAGTCATTTTGTTCTTAAATATTGAACAAACATTTATTTTGCTTACCTGTGGCCATTTCTGTCTCTCAAGAGGTCAGAGTGTTGGGTGAAGCTTCTCACTGAACTGACCTGTGGGTTAACACATGGCAATACTGTCATGTGACACCTCAGTAGAACTTGCATTCAATTGCGTGGTGCCTAAACACTACTTAACTCTACTGAACTTTTTTTTCTTCTTCCTATTTTGCCATGGTCTTAGTCTCTTTTGTTCTCTGTTTGTTTGTTTTTAATTTGATACGTTTCTCTTGCAATGTTTACCAGATAAGATTTTTCAGAGCAACTGGTTTTCTGGATGTTTCCTTCTCCTCCTTCTCTAGAATGTCTCTCTGATTGGCTGTTTGATTGACTGTGTTTTGTAGTTCAGCATCTTCCACTTTCAGTTTAGTTCAATCTTGCTAATTCCACTCATGTCACATGTCATGATATAAAATGTTCATAACTATTTGTTTCATTTTGTTTGGTTACTATGTCTGTGTGCCCTGCCTTTGGAACCCAACATGGTGTCTTGAAAGAATATGAAGAAATAAGAGATTTACCTTCTACTGTTTGATTACTTATTTAGATGTTGTGTTAAAACAGTATATCTGTTTAATTCATTTGTTTCATTGTGTCTTTAATCGCACTAAATGTTATTTTGCACTGTTTTCATTTGTCTAATTGCAGGTCAAAGAGGCTGAGTCTTCGACAGAGGAGAGTGATCGATCTTTTACTCCACGGCAGTCCGGTCATCAGAAGCACAAATCTAAAGGCAGATCCCCCATGGGGCCTCCATCATGGGTTCCTGGTTTCCCACCTGGACCCCCACCAGGACCTCATTTCCAAAAGGTGAATGTTGAATGCTGTGACGCTCTCTTTTCTTGTTATAAAAGGCAGTATTCAACATTGCAAAGTGATTCATTAGCTTGTCAGTTAAGTGGTTTTTATATTGCATCACACAAAATACTATGTTTTCTCCAGATGGATGGTAGACGATCAGAAGGTCCTGGACCTTTCTTCCCTGGATGGCCTCCCATGATTCCACCCGGTCCCCCAGTAAGAACCAGCTGGAAATAAACACATTCTAAACATATTCTTACAGGAAAAGTGATCTAGTAATGGCATTTTAAGAAGCACATACAGCTTTTTATGGGAGCAAATCAACTAAAATGTGAAATTATTGTTGGTCCAGATGATCCCACCACCTCCACCAATGAGTCCAGACTCTCTAGAGGATGATGAAGCTTTGGGCAGTATGCTTATTTCCTGGTACATGAGTGGCTATCACACGGGATACTATTTGGTACAGTTTTACTATTTGGAACTACTTGCCATTCACAAGTGTCTTCATGCACCTGGTTGTTTTTCAATCAAAGCTCAAACTCTTGTCTCGTTCACAGGGTTTAAAACAAGGTCGTAGAGAGGCTGCAGCATCTAAGAAGTCACATCGGAAATAAAGATCCAGCGGTTGGTTTTTATTTTTAGATTTTTTTTTTTTTTATGGAGTGTTGGTAAATTTTTACCTTTTACATATTGCTTTGAGTATCCAAATTTCTAGTTTAGGTTTACTGAATTACCTTTTTTCCATTATAGAGCGGAATATGAACGTGATGCTGCAACGGACTTGATTCAGTATTCTATTTTGTATTGTTTGTAAATAAATGAATTAAAAGTAATTGTGCTCTTTTCCAAAGTGTGTTTTTATTAAGAGATCACTTTAATAGAGACTAGCTACAAATAATTTTGGTAGCTTGATCAAGCGTTACAAATTTACATTTCATTCAGATTTCATTAGCATTCATTTGCTGCATGTCACTGATGTGGCTGAAGTAAAAAATCTTCAAAAATTCATAGTATCAAAGGTCATAGTATCAGGCATTTGTCTTTATTTCAACAAGCCCATATAAATTGTGTATTGTAGATGTGATAACTTGTACTGTCTAATGCACTGGTCTTCAACCAAGTGGCTGGTGCTTTAGATTTTTTTTTTTTTAAAGCAATAAATTAAGGTTATTCTTATTTTAATTCATTAATTTTTTTCTTTTAAGAACCAGGTTTCACACAGACTTGGAAAGCCTTTATATATGAGGTACCCTAATTTAAAAATGTGATTTCTAGACATGGAAAAGTCATGGAAATTAATGTAATCTTAAAGCTCCATGGGCATTTTTATAATGAATATACAAAAGTGGGGGACCTTGGGGTTGAAAACCACTGGTCTCATGTAGGCCTAAGTTAGCATCTCTCTTGTTTAACAAACTCTTCCTCCTTGCCTTATCTGGTATGGGCTTTAGTTTTTAATGGTTTACTTCCTGTGAAATCCATCCGAGGAGACTGATATTCTCATCATCTGACTGGTATTGGTGTCAGGTTGCTGGATCTGGTGCACTCTCTGGTAACCTCGGCATGAGCATCCTGAGACAGAGGAAAGCAAATTCAGAAGGATTAGCATAGCTGCTATTCATATTATTTTAAAGCTTTTCAATATTTTCTTGGGCATTTTTGGCAATTCTGGCAGGCCAACGTAGACTAGTTTAGTTTGTGAAATGAGCTAAATGAGTGAATGCTTGTCTAAAAATTGTAAGTTTGTGTCTAACAAACATGCAGTCATTTTGTTCTTAAATATTGAACAAACATTTATTTTGCTTACCTGTGGCCATTTCTGTCTCTCAAGAGGTCAGAGTGTTGGGTGAAGCTTCTCACTGAACTGACCTGTGGGTTAACACATGGCAATACTGTCATGTGACACCTCAGTAGAACTTGCATTCAATTGCGTGGTGCCTAAACACTACTTAACTCTACTGAACTTTTTTTTCTTCTTCCTATTTTGCCATGGTCTTAGTCTCTTTTGTTCTCTGTTTGTTTGTTTTTAATTTGATACGTTTCTCTTGCAATGTTTACCAGATAAGATTTTTCAGAGCAACTGGTTTTCTGGATGTTTCCTTCTCCTCCTTCTCTAGAATGTCTCTCTGATTGGCTGTTTGATTGACTGTGTTTTGTAGTTCAGCATCTTCCACTTTCAGTTTAGTTCAATCTTGCTAATTCCACTCATGTCACATGTCATGATATAAAATGTTCATAACTATTTGTTTCATTTTGTTTGGTTACTATGTCTGTGTGCCCTGCCTTTGGAACCCAACATGGTGTCTTGAAAGAATATGAAGAAATAAGAGATTTACCTTCTACTGTTTGATTACTTATTTAGATGTTGTGTTAAAACAGTATATCTGTTTAATTCATTTGTTTCATTGTGTCTTTAATCGCACTAAATGTTATTTTGCACTGTGATTAGATTTCATTGCACCCCCCACCAACACGCATACACACTTTATCCAAATCTGACAATTAATTTATTTAATTTATACAATTAGACATACACATACATTTCATTCTTGACCTAAATCAAATTCATTTCACTATAAATTATCTAAGAAAGATCATTAATAAAATAAAATACAATTATCAAATGCTGGCTGCTTATTGCTTATAGAACAATGAAATTGGCATGTCTCAAAAGTCATACAGTACATAGAAGACATTAGAAAATGTCAGAAATATCTTTGAGAAATGAAATAAAAAAAAAGAAATGAGCTCAATAAACTAAAGCCATATATTTTCCTCTTAAAATAGAGCATTTTAAATCACAGAGTCTTGCCCATCATACAATAAGGGTACATATGTAATCATCCTGTTTGTCCATACTGATACAGAGAAGCTATATTTACATCAGTTTAAAACTGTTCAAGAATATACACAGTGAAAGCACATTTGAATCACAATAGTTAAACGTGCATGTGGTGAAACTGATTTTTCTTTACATGATGCAGCAGATCTCTGCCATTAAGCTCCAAAAATGTCTTCATGGTATCTCTTCTCAACCTGCCAAAAAAGAAAAAAAGATGATGGCATGAGTTCACTGGCCACAAGGCAGTTCATATAAGGACATGAAGATCGAAACAGTGAATCTAAATGCATTTTGAGAGCTCACCTTCATTCTCTCCAGATATTCTCCAGCTTCTGCAATGGCCATGCCTGTTTTACTTGCCAGGATATCCTGCAAAGTGCCAGCAACATCTCGGGCCATGTTCATGCCACCGCAGACATACAGATGACCTGCGTTTTTGTGTAGAACCTCCACGGCTTTTTCAGAGAGCTGCTCCCTCAAGACATCCTGCACATACATCTGCTCCAAACAACACAAGCTTACAGTTACAGACTGAAGGCACCAACTGATCCCAGTGTAAATGTGTTTGATGAATAGAATAGACTTGACTGGATGGAACTGGATTTTGACACACAAACCTAAATAAACATTATTTCTAGTATAATACAGCATGAACGGAACTTCAGAGACGTACCTTTGGTTTACCAGGTTGCCGAGAGTAAGCTGTGTTGACATTGCCCAGAATGCCATCAAGTCTCAACTTCAGTGTTTCTACTTTATACAGATGGTCTGATTCTGAATCACGACACCCAAATAGCAGTGTCATAGGACTAACTTGCAGACCTAAAAATGAGTTGGTTAAATAAGACAAATTATTTAGGACAAAAACTTGAAAGATTTAAAAGAGAAACAAGAACTAAAGACAGCTCAAATAAAATGCAGGATACTGTGATAACTGTTTTGGGTAGAACCTCATTGAATCTTAAGACATTATAAGCTTTTTTGTCTGAACTTCATGAAAAATTAAATTAGATTACCTGTCTTTTTCATGTCATGGATGCGCTGTTGCCAGAAGCTACGGAAAGGAGCAATACCACTACCAGCTCCTATCAGAATAACTGGAGTGCTGGGGTCTTCTGGGAGATGGAATCCACCCGAGCTGAAATCATGAGCAAGTCAAGTTTTCTATTTTATTAAGATATGGAATACAAAAAGCCAAAATGCCATTTTATTTAAATTAGACATTTATATTCAGCTTTTAACTATCAGTACCGGTGAACAAAGCAGGGAACTGTGTGTCCTCTTTTGATGGTGTTAAGCCATGTGCTGCAGGTGCCAAAATGTAGTGGGCCTTTTCCACCTACAGTAGAACAAAACAGAACATTATCCTCATTTATGGTGAAACATGGCTTTTAGTTATAGAAGAATTGTCTAATGTCTCAAATTTGTATGTTTGTTATAGGTTTAGTATCAGTATCATACCCTGAGTGTGGTACTCCACCACAGATACAGTGAGGTGTAGTTCGTTCGGATGACGGTCCAATGAGGAGCTGACCGAGTACAGACGAGGCTTCAGCAGAGGAAGCTGGCTGAGAAGGAAGGTGGCAGGGACCTTCAGAGAGGGAAATTCTTCGAGCACCTCCAAGAAGGTGGGCCTGTAGAAATCTTTCCATGAGAGTATTCCTGGAAATCCTATGGAGAAATGGAGGAATCCTGTAAATGCATCCACTGGAAATACGTGTCATTTCCGGAACTTCAGAGACGTACCTTTGGTTTACCAGGTTGCCGAGAGTAAGCTGTGTTGACATTGCCCAGAATGCCATCAAGTCTCAACTTCAGTGTTTCTACTTTATACAGATGGTCTGATTCTGAATCACGACACCCAAATAGCAGTGTCATAGGACTAACTTGCAGACCTAAAAATGAGTTGGTTAAATAAGACAAATTATTTAGGACAAAAACTTGAAAGATTTAAAAGAGAAACAAGAACTAAAGACAGCTCAAATAAAATGCAGGATACTGTGATAACTGTTTTGGGTAGAACCTCATTGAATCTTAAGACATTATAAGCTTTTTTGTCTGAACTTCATGAAAAATTAAATTAGATTACCTGTCTTTTTCATGTCATGGATGCGCTGTTGCCAGAAGCTACGGAAAGGAGCAATACCACTACCAGCTCCTATCAGAATAACTGGAGTGCTGGGGTCTTCTGGGAGATGGAATCCACCCGAGCTGAAATCATGAGCAAGTCAAGTTTTCTATTTTATTAAGATATGGAATACAAAAAGCCAAAATGCCATTTTATTTAAATTAGACATTTATATTCAGCTTTTAACTATCAGTACCGGTGAACAAAGCAGGGAACTGTGTGTCCTCTTTTGATGGTGTTAAGCCATGTGCTGCAGGTGCCAAAATGTAGTGGGCCTTTTCCACCTACAGTAGAACAAAACAGAACATTATCCTCATTTATGGTGAAACATGGCTTTTAGTTATAGAAGAATTGTCTAATGTCTTTGTTTTGTATGTTTGTTATAGGTTTAGTATCAGTATCATACCCTGAGTGTGGTACTCCACCACAGATACAGTGAGGTGTAGTTCGTTCGGATGACGGTCCAATGAGGAGCTGACCGAGTACAGACGAGGCTTCAGCAGAGGAAGCTGGCTGAGAAGGAAGGTGGCAGGGACCTTCAGAGAGGGAAATTCTTCGAGCACCTCCAAGAAGGTGGGCCTGTAGAAATCTTTCCATGTAGAGTATTCCTGGAAATCCTATGGAGAAATGGAGGAATCCTGTAAATGCACCCACTGGAAATACGTGTCATTTCGTACAAAATCATGAACAAGTGCCCCATTTCAATTCTTAAAAAGGACGAATGTAACGCAATTACAGATGCAAGTGCTTCAAGTCGTTTGCGATCCTCTTCTTGACCCGCCACTGTTGAGAGTTTGCGCAGCAGGCTTTGCGAAGGTGGAGTTGTGACATCAATGAAATATGTAAGAGCATGCGCCAGCGTG